GCTTCTTGGTAAATGGTAAATGGACCGTACTTGTATAGCGCCTTTCTGTCTTCCCGACCATGCCAAGCGCTTTTACACTACGTGCCACATTCACCCTTTCACACACATTCACACCCAGTGAGGCAAGTCCATCGAACAGAAACTAACTCATTCATACACATTCACACACCGATGCTAGCATCCGGGACAATTGGGGGTTCAGTATCTTGCCTCAAGGATACTTCGACACGTGGCAGGGAGGGGCCGGGGACGAATCACACAACCTTCCGTTTGGGGGACGACCCGCTCTGCCTTTGAGCCACAGCCGCCTAGCTCTGTACAAATTTCTACGCTAGCTAATGTAGCAACACCACTGTCAGCAGCTCCCCTCTAGACTCCTGGGGCCCATCGGGCTGCCGTTGCAGGGAAGCCTAGTGCCAGATAACATTATTCAGCATTGCTGCGGTTGCAGCGGACTAGCTAACCTTAGCTTTCTGGCTCGCTTATGTTTTTGCCAGTGGAATACTATCTGAATAGATATGTTAGTTGGCCTAGATGTTAGCTGACAAATTACTTCCCCAGGCTAACGGATCCAGATTACTACTTATGTATTCGACCAACAACAACATAAAATTATGCTACACAGTACAAGCTAACGCTTTCTACTAGCAAGTGTGCATGCGGAGGCCAGAGGCATCCAGCTAGCTAACTGTAGCTAAGCTACGCTAAGCTAGGTTGTCCGGCTGGCTGTGTTTGGCGCACGGTGTGGGTCTTGGTGCGGTCGCGTCTGGTGGGGGCGGGGGCGGCTTCATGGTGTCTGGCTGATGGGCTGATTTCTTAAACGGCGCGAGCTAGTTAGTAGCATGGAGGCTACATGGTCCAATAAAATAATGAACATTGCAGATAGTAACGTTATTCTAAATATGATGTCAGTTATTTACAGCGTTCAGTGTTTGTCATTGGTGGCCGACTTTCAAAGTGACGAAGATTAAACTTCCTTTCTTTCTCTAAAGGGTGCCAGTTGTTCTTTGGTGGGAGCAAAGGAATGGCGTCATCCAGCATAACGATGAACATAAAATGGTTTTTAGCAGGAAGGAACAAAGTTATTTTTTCATACCATGCAGATTTCTTTTTCATGCTTTGGTTAGTTTTTTAACATCTTTGAGTGGAAAGCCTCGTCGCACCATTAAACCAAAACCATTCATCCAACTGTAATGCAAATGGAAGTCATAATAAAAGAGGTTTCTGTAGTTGTTCTTGTGTAAAGGAATAGAGCTGGCCAAAGCTTTCAAAGTAGTTCCCCAACACTGGTTGATACACAAGTGTAACATCTATAAATGTTGGGAAGTAAAATTAGGTTTAGCCTTACTACCTACAAAAATATCAATTTGTCATGTGTTTCCCTTTTTCAGTTAGTAACCTTACTAGTTATTTCTTCTTCTTCTTTTTCTTATTACCAGGTTGCCACAAACTGAGATAGTGCTGTAGTTGGTATGTTCCTTACGTAGCTTAGGTTTGAAGCAATGAGACATAGTCCTGAACCACTACAGGTGCGGTACCACGCCACGTCTCACTGAACAAAGCGAGCTGTGCCGCAACAATATATGATACCCGAGGGGACAAAGAGACGAACCATAACACAAACCCCATGGTCTAGGTTTCCATCTGGAGTTCCTGAAAGTCAGAAAGTCTTATCAGGCAACGAGCAATCATGCCATGCAATCACTCAACCCCCCCTCGAACCATCAGGACCTCCTTCAGCCTCTTGTCCGCCTCCTCCTGTTCCCAGCAAAATCACCAGAGATTTATGATGGAGGACATAAAAATTTAAGTTATCAACAGACACGTTTAATTATTAATTACTGTACAACATGAAGGCAGAGGAAAAACTGAACTAAGTTATTTATTCTAATGTCACCAGCCTGGTTTGGGGGTCATGTGATATGACATCACTCACCGCCCTGATGAAATCGCTCGCCACCCGCGATTTCCACGCGTCCATCGTCGCTGTGGCGACTCGTTGCTCCGGCAACCGCGGTGTCGGCAAACGACAGTTGGCCTTGCTCGTTCTCTTCTGGGAACTAGATGACAGGAAACAGAAGAGAAATAATCTCAGCAACATATGTGACAATGTTTCTATTGCTATATTTTATATTAACTGAAACTAACAGTCTGCCCACTGATAGTTAAATTTATATTCAACCTTTTTTATTTTCAGGTGATTCATGAAAACATACATATAAAATATCAATGTTACATTTCTGAAATTGAGCTATTAACATTCTCTCTCTGTATATACACATATATCTCATGCGCAGTAAGCTTTCAAGCGTTCAACATAAATTGGGCCTCATTGAATGATAATTCTTATTTGAAAGGAGTTTTTTTGTTTGTTAGTTTTGTTAGTTGTCTGCAGCAGTTTTGTCTACCCTGTATTAAAACCAGTCACAGCAACTCCCGTCCATCGTCTTGTTCCTGGAAAAGAGACAGAGAGAAAAACGTGTTTGCTGAAATGACATTTCCAGCATATTACCCTCGACAGGCGACCGCAAGTGATTGACAGACTGACCACAGCATCGTACAGGAACAGCGTGCTGGTAGTCAGAGCTAACAGAGCTAACAAGCTAACAGAGGTAAACCAGCCATTAAGCACTGCTGTCAGACTCTGTGTGTTGCGCTCAGAGCCACCTGGAGCTTTTAGCACATTCACATTGTTTTGTAAAGCGTTTCTCGTCTGCCTACCTGTTGTAGCTAAGCTAGTGGATGTGTTTGAAGCTAAGCTAGGGCCTCAGAGAGGGCTAACTCTCCAGTATGTGTGGTGTCTGTGGTGGGATCAAGGAAAGGATTGCCAGTCCGGTGCTTCTACCGCATTAAAGTCCGACCCACTGCGGCAGACAATATGAACAATACTAAGTATCAGTTAGCAATAGCTAGCATAACCTGCCTGGTGAATGGATGCCGTAAACTTTACAGAAAGAGTGCAGCGGTTTCAGGCAGAGGCCTGGGGGAGGTGGGCGCCCTCCTCTGATTAGAGGAGTTAACTCTGGTTTTAAGAAATGTCCCAAACCGTCCGCTCGCGTTCAGGCATTAGTATTCATTTATATGTTTTAGTTTGGAGAAACCGTCTTTAATGTTTATGTAACGCGCGTTGTGAAACAGCTTATATAGAGTGGGGCCCTTTGATTTCTAATTCCCCTGTGTAATAAGAATTTAATGATGGTTAGGAGTGCTCCTGTTTTCATCACTTCAGTGGGTAATATCTATTTGCCGCAGCACTAATGCCAACAATACAAGTCACACACACTCAACAACATTTCTCTTTAACAATAACCTGTTTGCACTGTCTTCTCCTGTTATTCCCCCTTTAAGGCTGCTGGGAAACTCAACCCCTTATATGCGTATGTTTCCAAGTTAAAAGCCTCCCACACTTAATTCTTTTCGTCTTTATTTGATAAAAATCCAGGGTTTGCCCGACTGGAGGTTCTTAGCCCCGCTGGTTTCTTTTCATTGAACTTGTGTTTTAATGCATGAAATAAGGTCTGTTGTTTATTTGCCGTTTGTTCTATGACATAAAACGTAGTCAGTAATACCCCCACCTCTGAATGTCATTATTTTGAGAAAGCTATTGTATTGCTTTTTTAATCACATTGCGCAGAAATGGCGTTCAATACTGAATGCCTCCTTAACAGCCTCGTCGTTGTGTTTATGACTTACAAGACTCTGGTACTAGCAGAGCAGTGTGAGCGTGAATCTGACCTGGTTTCCTCTGCAGACAAACAGGAGGCTCAGCTGCTCTCCCTGAATTTATTTATTGTGTACCCTGTTAGCTTTGACTTTGGACTTGGACTTTGGACTTTGTAGACCTTAGTGGACTTTATTTATAAGCGTTTACCATGAAGATTATTGCCATAACACTTCTATGGCTAGTCATCTTTTCTTGATGTCCTCAAAAGTATAGCAACAAGGCAAATAAAGATTAGGTTGGAAATAAGTTTTTAGGGTTCTAGATATATTTCCTGTTGTAGGATTCAGTGATACCAAATCACCTTGAAAGTTGTAAATAATGACTAACATGGTTGTTT